CAACCAAATAATTTAATTCTCTCTCAGCTAATATAAACATAAACGTTAAATTGATAATAAATAAATAATAAATAAATAAAAAAAGATAAAATGAAAAGAAATAAAGTAGAATAACATTTTTAATTTTACAAAAAAAAAACTGTTGGTTCGTTCAACCAAACATTTTTGTTGACCTAAGAAAAAAATTTGGTTGAGCTAACTAAATATTTTTGTTATGCCAACAAAAAACTCTTAACCAAATTTTTTCGTTGACTCAAACAAATAGTTTTTTGTTGGTTCAACTAAATTTTGGTTGCTGGGGGTCAATTACGTAACTGTTTCCGGATCCCACATTCCGGATCCCACTTTTAAAATTACCTTTTCCGGATTCCACAATCCGGATCCCACTTTTCACATTTCGGATTCCACTTTTCAAATTTCACATTCCGAACTCCTCTTTCAAAATTCCGTATTTTAGATTCTAGATTCCACATTCAGAATTCCGGATCCCACATTTCGTATTCCAAATTCTGGATCCCACTTTCAAAATTCCGTATTAGGGATTCCATATTCCGGATCCCACTTTTCATATTTCGGATTCCACATTCCGTATTCCACTTTTCATATTCCGGATTCAACTTTTTACATTCCGTATTCCGGTTTTTACATTTCGGATTCGACTTTCAAAATTCCGGATTCCATATTACACAATCTGAAAGTTAAGTCCGGAATGTGAAAATCGAAATATGGAATACGGAATGTGAAATGTTGGATTCGGAATGTGAGAGGTGTAATCCGGAATGTGGAATTCGGAATACGGAATGTGAAAAGTGGTATCCTGAATACGGAATTTGAAAAATGGAATCCGGAATGTGGGATCCAGAATATGGAATCCGAAATGTGAAAAGTGGGATCCGGAATTTGGAATTGGAATTTGTGAAAAGTGGATTCCGGAATACGGAATGTGAAATGTGGAATCCGGAAAAAGTTACGTAATTGACCCCCTGTGACTAAAAATTTTCCTTAGTCTAAATATTTTTTTTTTAATAGTCAAGTAATCGATTATTTGAATCAAATAAATTTTTTTTTCAGTGTAATTATATTAAAATTGTATTTTGTTCGAATAAAGTGTAGAAAATATATATATATAATTTTAATGCGATTCTTTTATAAAGTTCGTTTATACACGAAGACAATTGGTACTTGGGAATGGTAACGTAGAGCATCGCGAAACTTGCAGAACCGCAGACGCTTTGCATCGAAAACTCCGACGTCGTGTGGGGTAGTTCGGTTCGGGACGAATTAATTTGCCAAATTGAACGTTCTTCCATCGAGTCCGATAATTCGGTACTAGAGGTACCTTCCAACCTATACATATACATATATATATATATATTAGGAACATTGAGTCAGTGAATTCCCTTCCTTCGATTCGAAGAGAGAGAGAGAGAGAGACAGCAGTCCTTCCTTTAACCATCTGCCACGGTTACCTGAGCTGCGGGGAATTTCGAACAGTCTGCAAGGCTACAAGCTAGTTCGGTAATCGAATTATGCGAGTCAGGATATTGCGTAGCACTCCGGCCCTCAATTGTTTTAAGTCGACATCTCCGCCGTCGGAGCCAACCTTCCATCCGGACATTGAATTTGTACTAAACTATCGGACGAAATATCAAATTATCGCGGGGGAGGTGCGACGCTTTAGCCTGTCAACGCCCGCAGCCGCCAATCACCGAATATCAAATCCGGGGCGGTTCTTCTTTTTGATTGCGAATCGAATGATAATAATAATAATAATAAAAATTAAAATGTCTGAAACATTTATTATTTATTATTATTTTTACTATTTTCTGATATTAGTAAACGATTCAGGTAACATAACCTAAAAGTTGGCATACATTTTTTTGGTAGAAATTTTTTATCTTTATCCAAATGCGATTTTTAATTGTCTAAGGTGTTAAAAATATAATTTCAATATTGTGCGGCAAGGTTGCTCCAAGCTTACGTGTTGTCTGGGTTTTCTATATAGTATGAGCCTGGCTACACCGAGACCACTAAATTTGATGCTCAGGCGTATTTAACGAGGAGAGTATATTTGCGTTTGCGCAGAATATTTGTGTACATCTGCGACCATGGTTGCGATAGTGACAGGTTAGAAAATTTAGCACGACAAACTTGTCGCAAGTTTACTGCAAGCTTCAAATGTCCCACCTGTCCCAAGCTTGCATGGTAAGCTTACCTAAAGATTGCTCAGTAAGCCTACCGAAAGATTGCAGTGTAAGGTTACTGCAAGATTGCACAATATGATTATTGCAAAATTGCTCAGTAAGTTTGCACTTTAAGCTAGTAGCATGTTTGGTGCAAGGTTGGTAAATAACATTACTTTGAACCTAAAAAATTTTTAAAAATCGTTTGACATTTTCCCATAGATAGCACGTAAACTTGCAGCAACCCAGCGGCAAGCTTCCCGCGCAATATTGCCAACCTTGCACGGCAAACTTACCGCAAGCTTCAAGTGTCCCACCTGACCCAAGCTTGCATGGTAAGTTTACCGAAAGATTGCTCAGTAAGCCTGCCGAAAGATTGCAGTGTAAGGTTACTGCAAGATTGCACAATAAGATTATCGCAAAATTACTCAGTGAGCTTGCACGGTAAGTTTGTAGCAAGGTTGGTGCAAGGTTGGTAAATAACATTACTTTGAACCTAAAAAAATTTTGTTTTTAGGTTCAAAGTAAGGTTATTTGGCAACCTTGCACCAACCTTGCTACAAACTTACCGTGCAAGCTCACTGAGTAATTTTGCGATAATCTTATTGTGCAATCTTGCAGTAACCTTACACTGCAATCTTTCGGCAGGCTTACTGAGCAATCTTTCGGTAAACTTACCATGCAAGCTTGGGTCAGGTGGGACACTTGAAGCTTGCGGTAAGTTTGCCGTGCAAGGTTGGCAATATTGCGCGGCAAGCTTGCCGCTGGGTTGCTGCAAGTTTACGTGCTATCTGGAAAAATGTCAAACGATTTTTAAAAATCTGCTACCTAATTTTTCAAACCAACTTTTTAAAATTTAAAAATTGAGCTGAATGATGAAAAATAAAATTCTTTTATCAAATTTCTGAACAATAATGAAATACTAATAAATTGGCCAAGAAACTTGGTTTATAGGATCGCGAGTGATTTTACCCAGTAAAGCTTCGAGAATATATATCGGACCTTTGAAGCCCTTCTCACTCTCTTTCTCTCTCCTTCGACTATATACTAAAAGGGTGCCATTCACCATCGGCGTCCTCTCTGTAATTTTCGCTAACGACCCAAGTTTTTTCGTGTCCGAGTCGAGTCCGGGGTATCATAAATTCAAAATGGCGGATCCTTTTGGGGCGAAAACAAAAGCCACTCGGGTTTGAGCGAGACCTCCAAGGGTCGGGGGTGGGTTCACAACCCTTCTGACGTACAAAAGGGGTGAAAGAGAGAGAGAGGATGGAGAAGGAGGGTTTCAACTACCGAAAATGGCGGACCCAATTAAGAGAGTCTAGGCTATCCTGCGTGGTCTTATATATATATATATGCTTTTGGATACATGAAGAGTAATCAGTACCGTCAGTTTTAAAAAATAGAGTATCCTCTCTTTTTTTTACCAAAGGCGAATATACATTGAAAATTTCAAGTTTCGTATACTCGTGTATATATATATATATACGACGAGGGGGGATTTGCCTCAACAAATGTCAAGTAAATTTTTCAACCTCTCATGCAAAATCTCTATATACCGCGCGTTTGGCTCCTCGTTCACGTTTGGTTGACCTTGATGACGTGCCTATTAAATAAAAATCTCCCTAACGAAAAAAAAAAACCCAACAAGGGTAAAGAACCTTTGCGACTAACTAATTAATCACACTTACCTTTTCTACCCCTTTTCTCATGGTGAAGATTCTTCAAATCGATTTTTTTTTTGCGCACAGATATTATTGAGATAATTGAAGTTATCAATTTTAAAGGAAATTAAATTACAATTAAAGGTAGTTAATTTTTTTCCTTTGAAACTGCATTCATATGAGACAAAATTTTCGAAGTTCAATCATCATAGTGAAAAGATGATTTTAAAATGAGTCTTAAAATTAGCAATACTTGTTATAATGGAAATTTCATTGCGTATAAATTCAGCAAAGTTGCCTTATAAAAATGTTGCATCTTAAAATAAGGCACCTTTTCTGCCTTAAAATTCTTTCCGGAACATTTCGAATCAATCCGTTTTATTTTAAAGATAATTTTAATCCTTCGGAATTCTTAAATTTAATTCCGAATCCACGAATCAATTTGTTACATTCCAAGGCCAATTTTAATTCTGAAATTTAATTCCAAATCAATTCGTTTTATTCCAAAGATAATTTTAATCATTTTGAATCCTCAAATTTCATTCTTAATCAATATGAATAAATCCGAAGCTAAATTTTATTAATTCTGAATCAATGCGAATCAATGCGAAGCTAAATTTTAATCCTTTTGAATCCTAAAATTTCATTCCGAATCAATCCGTTTTAAATAGGATTAATTCGGAATACATTTTCAGGATTAAAAAGGATTTAGTTTTGGAATAAAACGGATTGATTCGAAAAGAAAAAAGAAAATTGAAAAGAATTAAAATTCAGCTTCAGAATGAATTCGAACTGATTTTGAAATAATATTTTGTAGTTTAAAATTTAGATTCGGATAGAAATTTATTGGTTCGGAAATAAATTTCAGAATCTCACGGAAAAATACTCATTAAAACTGATTGAATCCGAAACTTTGTTCAAGAATTTTTTTGGTGATTGGAAAAATTTTAATTTTGTAGAATCGAATAAAAATTGTACTTGTTGCATATCACTTGATTTTATGTATGCAAAATTGTGTAACTTAATTACATAATTCACTGTATTTCGTAATAATGATAATAGTAATTGTAGAATAATAATTTCGTAATAGTAGAATAATAATTTCGTAATAGTAGAGATTATATATTTATAATTTGTCATTTTATTAATATACCAGATTTTTCAACCACCCTTTTGAAGTCTTCATGGACCAAAACTGGATAGACGAGATAGTAAATTTAAACATTTGATCTTTGAACTGGTTTTCACTGCGGATGCTGAACCTTTGGACCTGATCAGGTCTTTTTAAAATAGTCCAACAGGTGATATACAATATATTAATTGTGTAATCCTTTATAAAAAGAGGGTAAAATCATAATTTACGACCTTTAAATTTCTTTTTAGTTTTTAAATTTTTCTACCTAATTTTATTTTCAAATTTTTATACCAATATAAAATATTTATTTATTTATTATATTTTACAAGTGAAAATTTTTTTTTATATATTATTATTTATATCTACTTATTTTTGATATAAAAATGTTTCTATTATTTTTTTAAAAAATATTCATAGTTATTTAATAAAAACAAATAAAAAAAATAAACTAGGGAAAAAAATTTTCATAATTTGACGAAAAAAAATTCTACACAGATAGGGTAATGATAAAAATGAAATTCTGTAGAGAGAGACTTGGGTTGGCATCGCGCATATATACTTGTTCTTTGTCTTTCTTATTTTCATCCTTCGTTCTAAACTCGACTGGCAATATTCTCTACTTATTTCTTCAAAGGTATTACAAAACAGAAGAATACACACATAAGTGTTTATATCATAGGTAAAGCTTTTACCACTTTTCAAATAAAAGAGAATCTAAATCGCGTACATATTTGAAATTTTCTGCAAATTATTTATTATTAAAAAACGAAACTTTTTTTTATTAAATATCAAAAAAAAATTCACTTTTAAAAGGGAGTATTTTTGAAAAAGAAAATTTTTATTCAAAGAGAAATTATTAAGTATCAAAAATTTGGCTTTCAAACAGGGAATATTTTTGAAAAACAAATTTTTATTCTAAGAGAGAAAAAAAAGTTTGATTCAAAATAAAAACCATTAATAAATAAATTTTTATAAATAAAAATAAATTAAAGATGAAAATAGATAAAATTTTGAAATTATTTTAATATTACTGTATATTTTATTTACAAATTCACTTTTTGTAGAGGGAACAAGAATTATTTATTTGAAATTCTTTAAATGTTGAGTATGTAGTATTATAACAATTAAATGCAAATTTCGTCACGTTGACAGAACAGTATTATGGATTTTATGTGAGGGAAGTTAACGGTATTCGTATTTAGGGTGCTTAATTTAGAATTTCATGAATATGTAACTTGGAACAGTGAGTAAGGTAATTGTCACTCTTCCCAGATAAGAATGTGGTTGTATTATAGGATCCAAAGTTTTCTTGTAATTCCATAGGCAAAGTAACATAATGCATTTTCAGGGATATTCCTGTGAATCACAATTACAAATTTTCACATCAATTTCGAAAATTTCTATTTAAATACATTTTTACACAAAATCAAAAAAAAACTTATTTTTAGAAAAAATGTTCTTTTCTTTTAGAAATTTTATTTTTTTTTTAAGAAAAAATATTTCTTTTCCAATTTTTTTTTTTTTTTTTGAAAAATATGATAAATTTAAAAAATGTATCGGTTTAGAAAATGGGAAAGATGAAAAGATGCGCACACAACTTACACATAACAAGACGCCTGACTGGTCACGCCGAGAAAAACGAGAAAAACTTGGAGAATGCAAAAGTCCTCATACCCCTCATCGACTCGTATGAAAGTCGAACCCAAGAGAGAGAGAGAGAGAGGTCCGCCTTCGACTTCTTCAGTGAAAACTCGCTGAACTTTCTTGGTGGAGTTTTTCTTCTTTTTTTCCCTTTTTTTCGGTTTCTTCAAATCCCATACCTCCTTCTCACAACTGCCAAACAATGATCACCTAACAAAAAACATTCAAAGTGATCGATTGACTCTATTCGCTTTTCACAATTTTTTCTTTTTTTTTTCTTTTTTTTTTTTTTTTTTAACTCCAAACTTTATATATTCACCCTTGATTTCCAATAAATAAATCAAATCGCACACATTTTACAAAACAGAGGGAAATATTTTTTCTACATCACCTTTTATAATCATTTTTTTCGCGCTCAGAAAATCAATAAAATTGGAATATTTGCATTGAAAATATTTTTTCAATATTTAAAAATATATTTTTAGATAATTTAGTATTTTTAAATTAATAATTAATTAAAATTTTTTTTAATACTTGTAAATATTTCGAAAATACATTTACTATTTTAGAATAAATAAATTTTGTAAAATAAATTTTCTGTTCTAAAAATTTGGAATATTGACAAATAGGAAATTTATTTAAAATTATGGTATATATATTTTCGTGGTGTGGAAAAATTGTTTGCCTGCGGTCAAGAGACATTTTTCGTGATATATATGAGAGCTTTTTTCTGAAGAGCGCTCGTGAATATCAGATATATATGTGGAATATTGAAAAATAATTTGGTTAGCTTTTTCATATTTTGACAAAAAGGATTGACAATTTTTTTTTTTTTTTTTTTTTCTTGACAAATTTTTTTGGAAAATAGTAGAAATTTCCCGGTTTTTCGGAACAGTGCATCGTATCGATTCGAATTTCCGTGGGCGTTGCTATGAGATGGACCCTTGTAAGGCTCGAGGAGACTTGAGTGTCGCCAAGCTACCCTTCCACCTCCGCAACCACCATCTACCTCACCTCCGGGACCAAGTTCGTAAATGTGTGCACTTTCATGTACAACTCGCAGTTATTACTTCTACAAATATACATATACACATCGAGAAGATATCGAGATCGAACGACCCCAATTTCAAGAAGTCTTTATACATACACATATTATATCTATATGTATATATATGTGGCGAGTATATAACAGTATTTGCACACCTCCTAAAAACCTAATTAATTTAGAGACAAAACGACGGTGGAGATAGATATTCTTGCAAATCACATAAAATTTAACAAAATGAAAACTTAATTAGAAATCAAATAATTAAATTACAAATTTACTTAATTTCAAATAATCTTTTTGTTTATCTTTAATTGGATTTATTTTCGTTTAGTTTAATATAAAAGTTTATTTCCTCTTTTATGGAGAAGGTTTATTTATTTTTTTTTAATTTGGAAAAATTTGTTTCTAACTTTTAGAAAAGAAATTTAATTAAGGGAAAATTAATTTTTTTCTGATTTAAATATATAATTTAAAATAATTTTTGCTGATAATTTACTTAAAATAATAATTAAACGAAATTTAATTTCATTTTTTTAGGATTTAAATAATAAAGAAAATTTTTTCTGATAATTAATTGGTGATTAGTATTATTTATTAATGATTAGTAATTAAATTACTATCTAATGCAAAAATAATTATAATTTATGAAAAATTGATAAGTAAGAGTAATTAAATAAGCTAAGAGTAATTAATTAATTGTTGATTAGTAGAAAAATTAAAATTTAATGTAAAAGGAATTGTAAGTTTATAAAAATTTAATTAATTTTTTTTAGAATTTAAATAATTCAAAATAATTTTTCGCTGATGATTTAATTAAAACAATAATTAAACAAAATTTAATTTCTTTTCTTTAGGATTTAAATCAGAAAATTTTTGACTTTTTTTTGTTGATTATTAGTTAAATTAAAATTGAATGTAAAAATAATTGTAATTTATATAAATTTAATTAATATGTAATAGAAATGTTTTATTTCGTAATTTTTTTTTTTTTTTTTTTGTGAATGATGATTTAAGGCGAATGATCACCACTGTTTGAAATTTGTCTACATGGGCGATTGTGGTCAGTTGTTCGGGTCGTACAACCCCCGTTTCACTAGTCGATCTCGTTTTTATTCCGGTTTTTCGGTGAACTTCGCCCTGAAAACGGGGCACTGCCTGTCAACACAGAGGCGCGCGTGCTGAATGATAAATGCTGGCCCACCGCTAATGTTGCTGCACAACAAATTATAGCCGGTGTGATAGCATCTATTTTGAGAGCAAAATAAATAAGTGTAGACAGCTTGAAAAAAAATTGCTTTTTTTCTAAACTTTAATTTTATCGCACAGAAAATTTTATTTAATAAACAATTTAATAAATTCAAAATGAAAAAATTTAATTTTTAAAATAAATAAAAAAAATTTTCTACTTTCTAAATACAAATTAGTAAAAAAATTTAACTAATTAATAGAAACAATTTTTTTACTAATGATTTAGTAAAATTTAGCTGAGATGTAGAAAATCATATATACTAAGTCAAATTACTCTCTAAATCTGAATTAGTAAAAATGTTTACTAATTTAAATTAGTGACTCACTTTTTGCTTTAGAATTAGTTAAATTTTACTAATTGTTAGTAAAAGTTACTAATAATTAGTAAAATTTTACTAATTCAGAAGCAAAATGTCACTAATTCAAATTAGTAAACATTTTTACTAATTCAGATTTAGAGAGTAGTAAAAAAAATAATTTAAATAGTACCTGACTGTTTGTTTTAGAATTAGTAAAATATAACTAATTATTAATAAAAAAAATTTATTAATTGTTTAGTAAAATTTAACTAATTGAAAAACAAAGTCATTTACCAATTTAAATTAGTTAACAAATTTTTACTAATTTAAAAAGTAGAGAATAATGAATATTAGAAATAATTTTTAAAATATAATTACATTCGACAATTTTGTTTAACTAAATTGAATTAAATGAAATTCCATCGTAATTAATTGCTACATTTATTTACAGAAGGGAGAAACTGTGGAAGGTGAACTAAAAAGCAGTATATTTAGGAATGCTGAGAAAAGCTGAGCTCTTATTTATTTTAGTGATATTTTAAAAAAAAATTTCATTACTTATAAGATTTTTTGTTTATCTATGAAAAATTTTATATATTTAACAATTACTTTTTAAAGGAAATAAACGATCAAAAATTTTGATGATCCCCATTTTTCCTATCCTATATATATTTTAATTTCCATGAACTTTATAAATTTATTTAATTTTCTCTTTCGCAGAATGTTGCAGAAATTTTTATTTATATCCAAACGACTAAATTCAATGTCTTTGAATCTAATTTTTAGACTAAAATCGTAAAAGAAATTCTTCACTTTTAATTAATGAAATTCGTATAAAAAAAATTTTCAATGAAATTAAATAAAATACAAATGTATTAAAATTAGAAAATAATTTTTATTTAATTTAAAATATTCTTAATTTAAATATTTAACTTTATATTAGTATATTTAAATATTTTAATATATTAACAAAATAAAATTTTTTAAATAAATAAAAAAATTAAATTTCAAGCTTAGTTCGTTTTTTTTGAATATGTTGATGAAAAGTCATATATTTAATTAGAAACAAGAAATTAATTAGTTTCTGAAATATTTGTTACGTGACGAAATCTCATTGTGTGCAAATATTGGCCATCAGATTGTAATTTCGTGTATATTCGCCTCATTGGAACCCATTTAGCTCTCTGCCATAAACAGATAATCTTCAGTTAACCAGTTGAAATCTTTCGTCCAATCAGATATATACAGCAAGCAGGCAAACCAGATATTAAATTATCGTCCCTGTACTCCTGAGGTCATACGAGTAGGAAATCGCGGTCCTAATTCTATTATAGGTACAGAGGGAGAGACATATCAACAAATGGACTTTAGTTAATTGGAATTCAAAAATTTTGCTTTTCATTTCAAATTTTGAGTATTGTATAGTTTTTTTTCTCTATATTTATTTTTTTTTGTATATTTAAACGTTTTTTATTAATTACTGTTAAAAATTATTTTAACCTTACCTTTAATTTTATATTTTATTTTAACAATTTTTTACTATAAAATTGAATTAGTTAAAAGTAAATAATTATTAGTAAAATAATGGGTATTTTTTGCATCAGAAATTAGTGTAAAATAACCAATTATCAGTAAATAAAATAACTTATTATTATTATTAGGTATTACTAATAAATAAATAAATAATAAAAAATAGTCAAATTGCACGAATTATATTAGTTAATAGATCAGTCACTAACTATTTGCTTTCAAATTAGTTTGTTTTTAGTGATTCAAATTTAAAAATAGTAGATAAATACTAAATTGAAACTAAAAATTACTAAATTTAATTATTAAAATTTAAATTGAAATACTTGTCTTACCTAATAAATTAGTATTTTGATACTAAAAATTAGTCATTTTTAACTAACAGTAAGAATTAGTCAAAACGGTTACTAATTCAAATTTAGAGAGTAGATTGTAAAAAAATACATACGCTCTGAAGAAAGGGACCTATACACTGAAAAAAAATTTATTTGATTCAAATACCTGTGTATTTGGTTATTATCAAATAAATATTTACTTGAATCAAATATTTCTTATTTGAATCAAATAAATTGTATTTGCTTCAAATACTGAAATATTTGGTTCAAATACTATATATTTGATTCAAATAAGAAATATTTGATTCAAATAAATATTTATTTGATAATAACCAAATACACCGGTATTTGAATCAAATAAATATTTTTTTCAGTGTAAGAAGCAACTGAATTATAGGTTATGTTTACGATTATAGATTACGTTTACGTTTTTATTTATGTAAAATCAAAATCAGTTTTTATTGAATATTTTCTATGTAATAATAAAGATGGAAACATCAATATGATTTATATTAAGAAATTACGGACAGTTTAGGATTTACTTTCGAAGTATAGTAAAAATTACTTTATTTTTGTTTTCCATTTTTCTTCGTGTTTTTAAAATTTTTTTGTTCAACTGTAGCGGAAAATAAGAATAGTAAAATTTATTCTGGAAATTGTATTTTTTTTTTACTATTTCCGAAGCGAAAGCTGTCAGAAATGCGAAGAAATTACACGGAGAAAAATGGAAAAACGAATAAAGTAACTTTTACTATACTTTAAACGTTAAATCTGAACTGTCCGCAGTTTCTGCGCATTTCTGAAAAATTTTACTCCAGAAATAGTAAAATTTACTATATCCGGAATAATTTTTACTATTTCAGGAGTAAATTTTACTATTTTCGGAGTAAATTTTACTATTTTTGGAGTAAAAATTTTCAGACATGCGCAGAAACTGAGGACAGTTCAGATTTTACTTTAAAAGTATAGTAAAATTTCATTTATTCGTTTTTCTATTTTACGAATTTACTTTGGAAGCATAATAAAAATTACTTTATTATTATTGTTACCCATTTTCCTCCGTGAAAAAGTTTTTATTCAACTGCAGCGAAAAACAAGAATATGTAAATAATATAATAAAAAAATAATTATTAGGGGTAAATTTTAATTTTTAAGTATAAAGAAGAAGAAGAGCATTAAAATAGAAAAGACATTGCAAAGGAAAGGTTGGCAAGTAAGAAAGCCATAGGTCCTTTGAGGCTAGATCCGTCTCGTTCGTTGCCTCGGATTACAATTTCGCGAGTCCAAGAAGAAGGAAGGCAAAGGGTTGAGAGAGAGAGAGAGAGAGAGAGAGAGAGAGGACGAGGGAGAATGAGAGCGTGAAGGGAGAGTAAAATGGCCGCCGGCGAAGGGTAGTTTTGCTTTGCAGGGGTGGGAGGGGGGCTCTGCTGCGAGGGTGGCCAACGGGGTGGTAGAAACGAGCGGATGGCCCAAGGGGGCGAAGTAAGGGGGTGGACTGCTAGCCACAACCCCTTAAGGGTCGAACGAACCCTTGCACTACCACACCGGGTCCTCTAGAGTTTCTAGTCTCTCTCTCTCTCTCTCTCTCTTACTCATCCTCTGTCTCACTCTTCCTCTGCTTCCAATTGCATTCTCTCTTCCTCCAACTTTCTCTCTCTCTCTCTCTCTCTCTCTCCCTTATTCACTTTCTGAAACGTCAGTGGTGGCTATTTCTCTCTCTCTCACTCTCTCCCTCCCTGTATCTACAGCCACTATAGTCCCGGCGGCCACCCGAAAGGCTTCTTGTGCGAGTGAGTCCGAGAAGGACCACTTGTGAGAAGACCAAAGCGAAAGAGAAAGAGGGATGATGAGTCACGGTTGCAGAGGGAATGAGAGTATGTTGTGGAATGAGAGAATTGTATATATATGTATATAAAAGAGAGGGACGATGGTCTTAGAGGCAGGGGTGGAATTTTAACATTGGGGGCTATAGTCTTAAAATACACACACCTCGCGGAATGACAAGCGTGAATTAGAGTCTCGAGAAGAGCGCACTTGGTCTTATATATATATATATACGTGTAGGTTTGGACCGTTTGGAATTTTTACGTCACCACGGTTTACACGCCCTTTATGTATACTATATTGTATAACGTCGCTCTTTGCCAAAAGGGTTCTGCAATTACTTAGAAACGAATACGGTATACTGATTTTTCTAAAATTCTGTTTTTTTTTTCATTTTCTCTCTCTCTAAATCTGAATTGGGCTCTTAAATCAACGGCGTTGATTTGTTCATTAAATGAATATTGGTATAACCGTTTTGATTAATTTTTTGTTAAAAAAATGACTAATTGATAGTAGAAAACTAATAATTTGTTTATAATTTGAATAGTGTCCTTACTAAATAAATTAGTAGTTATTTATAAACAATTAGTATTTTTCTACTAAGAATTAGTAGATTTCCAATAAAAATTAGTAGCTACTTACTAAGAATTAATAGTTTTCTACTAAGAATTAGTAACTATATACTAAAAATTAGTTATTTTTAACGATTTGCAGTTTTCTACTAACAATTAGTAGCTATTTATAAAAAATTTGTATTTTACTATTAACAATTAGTAGTTATTTAATAACCATTAGCAGTTTTCTACTATAAAATTAATAGGTTTCTACTCTAAGATTAAAAACTTTTTGAAATGATTTTTAATATTAAAATTAGATTTTAAAAGACAACAGTTATTAAAAATTACAAGATTTTTTTTTATGAACAATTTAGTTAACATTAATAGACAATTCATTCACTTAATTTCGTAAATTTAATTAAAAATACGCATTAAATAATTTGAGTAAATTTCCATATCTTCTAAAATAACAGAAATTATTTTTTCAAAGAGTATATATGTATATATAACCATCGGTACTTTACAATTTCTTTTTCAAACTATTTTTTAAAAAATTGCTCCTTTTTGTCGTATTTAATTTATATAGTCGTTAAATGTTCTTGTCAAGTTTTTAAAGCAATTAAAAAATTTTAATTAACGCTGCGTAAACACTCGCTACAAAAATGCAATTATTTAAAAAATGATACTCACTGTAAAAGCTTGAAAATACAATAATTATATTAATCTTAAAAATTGTTTTAATACAATAATATTATATCTAATGGTAAAATTTCTGTCAAAAAAAAAATTTAATAATTTTTAGAATTTTAATATTGAATTCAAGTATAATTATAATTTGATAATATCAATAGAGGAAAATGGTATGAAACATTCACTTTTCTATGACCTTGGATAATTCATAACAGTTTTAAAGTACGAAGCTTCTTTAACGTGATATTATTAGTTCATAAAACTTAACCAGATGAGGAGTGAAGAAATGCGAGTTTCACTTGCAAACTTTTCCAAGATCAGCTTAAGTTTGAAAAATCATTTCTCCTCAAACTTTACATCGCGCGCGCACCCCATTTATATAACTTTTTTTTTTTGTTATACTTGTCTTCAAACTTTTTTTTACACGCGTACTTTTCAATGTAAAGATTTTTTTTTTAAACAAAAATGATACAATTTTGTTTTTGGGTTGAAATTTTTCTCATGCAGTAACCGTTTTGACTAATTCTTAATCAAAAATAACTAATTATTAATGAAAAACTATTAATTGATAGTAAATAACTATTGTCAGTATAAGAGTACAAATAATTAGTAAATAGCTACTAATAAATTAGTAAAAAACTACTAATTTTTAGTAAATAACTACTCTCTAAATTTGAATCAGTGAAAAAGTCACTGGTCTCAAATCA